GAATAGATTTTGAGATGTCCCCTGCCATGACTGGCTGTTCCGTTTCTGAGGTTTCACCCCGCCGCGACAGATAACAACTTTTGCGTTTTCAATGATGATAGTTTCCTAAAGAACTTGTTTGGTGGAGTCCGGAAAATTTTCAAATATAAGAAAGCTGTTGGGTATTAGTAAATGATAAACATGTGTCCTATTTATATTTCTGTGGCAATTTTGTACAATGATAAAATTTGCAATTCATCGGTCCGTTTCTGACTCAAACGGACTGTACTGGTCCTTCATAGTTGAAAAAAAAGGGCAAAAAGTCTCTTCCTGCTCTGAAATCCTGGCTTGGCCACCACTGTACACTGATTTTCCTTACCCATCCACATCATGTTAGAACGCTTGTTGGGGATACCATAAAAGTAGATCCAAGTCTCGTCACCAGTGACAATGTCGTTGACTGACTGAGTTTAGTTTTACGCCGCTTTTAGCAATATTCCAGCAATATCACGGCGGGGGACACCAGAAATGGGCTTAACACATTGTGCCCATGTGGGGAATCGAACCCAGGTCTTCGGCGTGACGAGCCAACGCTTTAACCCCTAGGCTACCCCACCGCCCCGACAATGTCGTTGAGCCGCTTTGGTCCATATAGTTCAAAGATATTTAATATGCAGCGAGCACACTGAAACCTTCGTTGCTTCTGTTCAGGGGTCAGCACATGAGGTACCCAACGAGCACAAATCTTCCTTAACTTGAAATGGTCATGAGTGAGTGAGTGGGTGGGTGGTGCCAAGTGATATGTCCAATGATGAACTAATTTCACGCAGTTGAATGTGGATCTTCATCAATGCACTTCTTTACAACTGTCATTACCTCCTCATTCACAACTGATTTTGGACGTCCTGAGCGGTGTTCATCATAAAGTGAGGTCTTCCCATGATCAAAATCACTCAACCACCTAGCAACTGTCCTATATGATGGAGCTTGGTCCCAAAACACATTAACCAAATCTACATGGATTTTGGTTGCATCTTCAGAAAACTGTGATCTTATGAAAACATAGAAGCGAAGGTTCTCCTTGCTTAACTCCATCTTTTTTAATCACAGTTATGACATCATCACATTGTGACGTCATAACCACTTTTCATATTGGATATGACATCACAAAATTTAGTCAGTTGATTAGAACTCATCTTAGTCTTTCCATAGAAGCTAAATGTGCAGGGGTTATATTTGATATATAGATATGATAATGGTGTTGCCATTACTTGTTGAACAGCCCATAAGCAATGCCCTGTTGGCTTAGACTCATCATCCAAACCACTGATCAATATTGTCACATCTTACAACAAGCATACTTTGCTGGGGCCTAATTTAATTATGAATATATAGGGTCAATTAGTAGTCATTCATATGCACATGTGATGTGACCCATGAAGATCGGAGTAAGAACTGATCTTCAGCAACCCATGCTTGTCGTAAGAGGCGACTAACGGGATCGGGTGGTCAGGCTTGCTGACTTGGTTGACACATGTCATCATATCCCAACTGCATAGATTGATGCTCATGCTGTTGATCACTGGATTGACTGGTCCAGACTCGGTTATTTACAGACACAGCCATATAGCTGGAATATTTCTGAGTGAGACGCTAAACAACAAACAAATAAAGAAACAAACAAACATATACACATTTATCTTGATAAGTTTAATCCGACATTTAAGTCATTTACCAATGTGACTCCCAAGAGCCGGGTGCTGACCATCCAAGAAATAGATTTATGCGAACAGGACTAGATAATTTGAATTGTTGTTCATGCTGATGATATTGTAATGGTTTCAACACTGCGGTTATTGACATTCTATCATTTTAACTGCCCAGTAGGAACTGGAATACACACATGCAAATACTAAAGTAATGTCGGAAATAGAAAAAAACTGTTTTGGGGCTGTTACTATGTATCCCTAAAATTTACACAATTGCAAATAGCATATGTCGAAATAACCAACATCGGCCTAACTGGGCGTTCAGTGGGATGCGTAATAGGATATCCAGAAAAGCATGTTTACTTATATAAAATCCGACAAAACTTAGAAAGAGTATGAATAGCTGCTTAAAACCACAGATCAGACTATAGATGACAATTAGGTCGTTCAGGCAGGTATGACGACTGATCGTCAACTCACCTGCCATGAAATGCACGTGCTGCCCACATGCACAAGGGGTCATCTCAAATATATTCTATGCATTCTCCTGTGTGTTGAGTATGTCTCATCTATTGATTAACATCTAACGTGTTTTTCTAACAGCATGATACCCATAGAAAGGCTTAAATCAGCCATTGTATTAAATGTCTAAAAATATATAGGTAGCATGGCCACCCGAAGATCGACAGGACTGGATGTTATTTGTAAATTGTTACTTGTCCAGTTTTATTCCTCTTAAGGATTATCTTATCTTAGCTTATATCTCTATCAACCATCCCGACCCCAACCATTGTCTGCGACACCCGACCTGTTTTTGCTTTTGAGACGACCCCCCATATCTGTTTGTTTTTGTAGTGATAGTGAGACGCTATAGAGTTTCACAGTTAAAAATGTTATTTTGTACGTCAGCTATCCTTTATAACGAAGCTAAATCTAATTTCAAAATGAGCATTTGAAAAGTGTCCTCTGTAACACAATATTATCGCACACTAATTTGCATAAAGCCAAGGTCTGTTCCAAACAAATCGACTTGGACTTAGAAAATATACACATTGCTCATGTCTGCACTAATCTCTCCTCAGTAAAATCCTTTTTTTTTACGTTTCCTATCTCCCTACCACTGACACTTTAGTTAGGCCGAACTTAGTTTAACAGATATTTCACACTTTCACATATTACCTACATAAATTGTGGATATAGATGTGAAACCCGCGCAGTTTTTTCCTATTTCCGACAGTACTTTAGTGTTTCTATTTCACTCAACCCTCGAACCTTCAGGGGCGAAGTATAGTCTATAAGTGTATCTGTTCACACTAAAACAGCTGCAAATGAGGGTAAAGGACAACAGCAATATTTGGCACACTATAAATCCACAGTCTGTCACATCACAGGATTATACCGGACACAAGCCAAGACATGTAAAGCCACAAACACAAAGCCACACACTAAGAAGACTGAAAAGGGATAGTGTTGAAAGAATAAACACAGCAAAAAGGCTAGAAAATGTATATACATATATCTGTATATTATGATCTGTTATTTTTTTCTTATCCAGTTACAGAATGTCAAAGTCAGAGAGATATGGGTGTATTTTCTCATCTTGCCAATTCATCACACCATATGAGACAAAGCATTAATACAATGTATTAACACAATGGCTATGTCTAGTCTGACACAGATGCAGATCATTTAGCTGACTTGTTCCCGTTTTTTTTTTCTTTTTTTTGGGGGTCCCATTCATGATCGACACAGGTAGCTATGGTTTCCTTCTCAAATTGAGTAAGCAGGGCATTTTTTAGGCCCAGGATACACAATGTACAGGTTAAACAGCATTAATGAACGCTATTTTAGAACTAACACCAGACAGTGGGTAAATAGTGATAATTGAAAGAAATTCTGTTTTGAGTACTTAGATATTATTGTCCTTCTAAGGAGCAAAATATTTGTCAGAATGCATAACCATGATAACAGAAGTTATCTCATATCTCATGTTGACTCATTTGAAAAAAATAACCCATTAAAAATGTCTTGTCTTGTTTTAAAAAAATGGTAACCCTGGCTCATCAAATTTGCTTTGGATCGTTAACTAACTCATAGCTCATGTCCAGTACACATCATGCCCTTAGAATTGGTCTTCAGTTGCCCATGCTTGCCGTAAGAGGCGATTAACGGGATCGGGTGGTCAGGCTCACTGACTTGGTTGACACATGTCATCGTTTCTCAGTTGCGTAGACTGATGCTCAAGCTGTTGATCACTGGATTGTCTGGTCCAGACTCGATTATTTACAGACCGCCACCATATAGCTGGAATATTGCTGAGTGCTGCGCTAAGCAACAAATAAACAAAATATCATGCCCTTTAGACTACAGAGGACTGCCTCCCCTCACTGTCAGATTGCTGCACATTGTTTTGACAGGCTATTTCAGGACTCATGTTAATAGGTTTGAACAAAATATTAGACACACTTTTTAGGCCTTTTTGATCCTCTCTCCATGATACTCAAAAATTAATAATGGCCTTTGGATCAGACATGACCTAATTTTCCATTCATCTTTTAAGGATTCAATCTTATTCCACTGGATAAAAGAATGTCAATATAATAAGGTTCTTTTGTAAAAAAAAATCTTTTAACAGATTTCCACTTTTTCTGCTAAAACAATAAAACGACATTATATTAAGTAATTCTATTGGGAATAGATTACTTTTGAGTATTCAAGGCCTTTTCAAACCAATCTCACTACAAAGCTTTTTTCAAAGTAGTGCATTATTCTATTCTGGGATCAAATGTTATCCCTACATATATCCATTAAAGACCTTTGGAATAATCTTAAACAATGCCATAATCCCTGACTACCATACAAGCACGTTTGCAACAGAAGACAGCCCATAACAATAGATACGGCTTAATAATAAAGCATTCTTGCCCCCTAAAATACCACTGACAAACAATGTTTTTTGATGCTTCTCCGAAGAACTATACCTTAAAACAACATGAGCACAATGCAAACCAACACATATCTAGAATCATGTATAAACAAAAGTCTGTGATAACCTTCATCATCAACTCATGTTTGAACATTGTTTTGCTTGAAAACTATCCCAACAACCAATGGTTAATATTCTGAACTAGTATAAAGGTTTCCAAAATATTTGAAAAGAATGAAATCTACAAATTAAAACAAAATATTATGATACTAAACTACGTATTAATAACTATAAACTATGAAACTCAAAGGAAGCAAGTATTACATGAAGATGCTACCAGAGATGAAACTGCGAAAAGGAGGTATGTGCAGAGAAAGAAAACTTACTTCCAGAACCCGACGCAAGCTGTTCTTTCTTGTATGCCAATAGAAGGGTAAGTGGCGACAACCATTCTGAAAAACAAGTCACTAAGTCCTAAACAAAAATTGCTGGTACCAATTACTGTTTAGCGTTGAGTATCACTCACAGTTTTAGAATAAATTACAGGAATGGTATTATAGTTGTTATATTCTCCATGCTATCAATATACACTCTTTCAGAATGAAATGTAATTTGAAGATTTAATAGCTTGCTTCTATTTCCATTACTGCTTATCATTTTTTGCTTGATTTTGAAAAGAATAAAATGGCAATATATTTTCAAATTTGAACACGGAACATGTTAAACTATTTCTATGGGCATTTCTCACAGTTACATTAAAAGATATTTTGATTTTCACTTCACTGGTTAATAATGACCAAACAACATATACACACTAAAGTTTCAAATAATTCATAGAATGTCAGGTAACAAAAGACGCAAACACAAAGTGTTTAAAGTATTCATTTCTATACTTGAATTTGTAATAAGTAATAACAATTATCCAATTTAATCACTTACACCTATCACTCTGCAGTTGAACATATCATTTCCATCAAGTTTAAATGTAATTCAGGAACATATCTTCATGGTGAACTGAGAAAATGTTCCATAGTTAGAATGTTTCAAGCATGGCCAGTTCAATGACTGACTGACTGACTGACTGAGTTTGGTTTTACGCCGCTTTTAGCAATATTCTGGCAATATCACGGCAGGGGACACCAGAAATGGGCTTCACACCCAGTTCAATGAATTCTTTAAGCATTTAAAACTTTTCTTATCCCAGGCAATTCATCTCAGGACTGAATAATGTCAAACTTTAGAACAACTGTTTACTTGTTCACTTTTGAATGATTTTGAACTGAATTCCCTGTTAAAAATCATGTGATAATATTTCTGTGAAATGTTCAACAAGCGTGACCTAAATATTGGGAAAGTGTTAATAGCAGCAATGTTGTATTAGGGCGAAAAGCGGATCATGAATATGATGAAGGAAGGCAGTTTATGGACAGGCACACATCAGAAATAATAGTGTCACCACAAAGTTGAAAACACAACTGACAGCTGGCTGTCCTGTAGCCATTGCAGTTATCAAAACGATACTCCTCTTTCAGTACTGAGTTCCACAATATGTGCACAGAAATGTGAAACAAAGAAATAACAGAACAAAATCAAAACAGCAAACAAATACTAAGAAGGAAAGACCCAGCCATTCAAACTGAAATAGGTGATAAAAACCTTAGAAGGTCCGACTCTGAACAGACACTTCAAAGAACTTTAGGAGAGTATTGGTATTATTGGTGCTGAAAACTGACAGAAACAGGTAACAGAAAAACTGTAACAATACAGATTGTTTACAACCTTACAACATAAAGAAGTTTCACTTCTAAGATCCCTTGAAGTAAATCACTGATGGAACATTTTGTTCAAGTGAGCCACAGTGCATTTATAGATCTTTAGGTCTGGCATGAAGAATTAAAAAGGAATCAGAGGAATGAATTTGTTTCAGTGAAATCGCTTCACCAAGGCCTGAAAACAGCAGCAACATTTTTTTTAATTAGCCCCTTCTTTTTCAGCAAGATTAATAATACCCGTTTCATTTTGGAATATCAAAATTCATTTTGCGAATCATAATGTGCATTCTGAAGATTCATAGTGAGTGGGTGAGTTAAGTTTTATGCTGCTTTTATCAATATTCCAACAATATCACGGCGGGGGACACCTAAAATGGGCTTCACACATAGTACCCATGTGGGGAATCAAACCCGGATCTTCATTTGTCCATGCTGTCATTCGCATGTACCTGTGATTTCATCAAATCATGACAGTATACATTGTCAAGGTGGTGGTGTAACAATACAACCTCTAAATCACAATGTGGCGCAATATGACTTATGAATGTACCCTTTAGGCACCAGAAACTGGTATAAAACGCAGTTACATTTGTAACTGTCTTCCTATATGGAACGGATTTTGAATCTAGGAACGTCTACTGCGGGAATCAAGACTATGCATGGAACAGACACATTTTATCTTGCACCATATCTAAAGCTAACCTTCCTTTAACATGTCTGTATGTGAACCCATACTAATCATAAACAAATATTTACTTAAATTCAAGACCAAGAAAAGCAATTCTCTTAAAATATATCAGATTTACTGTAGAGAAATGTTATCAGAGTATAATGTGGTTATTGTATTTGCAGCAGTGAGTGCCATTGGAAGCATAGAATATTGACCAAGGAGGTGATTTAAGTATATGGCATACATTACAACCATGTGAACATCTCAGCTGCAGGAAATATTACAGTCCACCAATAAGCTAACATTTTGTTGCAGTAGAAAACAAAACAGTCTGAATCATGGTATCTTAGTGGTTGATGTGAGGAGCATCTAAAACCTTCTGGGTACTATGACAAGACATCAACCAAGTCATCAAGACCAACTATCCGGATCCTCATTTGCTTTATCAAGCAGTACAAGAATTTGAGGACCAAGTCTGAACTTGACTTGGGGGTCGTTCAGTTTTGGGAGAAATCAGTAGAGAATCAATATAAAGCATGTTTGCTGCCGCTGCCAAATATACTTACTGTAAGTTAATACACTGATGAATGATTCTCATGACATATATATATATATATATATATATATATATGAACACAATAATGAAAGGTCTGATGTCTCATGTCATGGTGCAAGCTTGATACAACCGCACCTATATTTTGTACATAAAAGACGTGAACAAACAATTCCATACCAACAAAATAAATAATGTTCAAACCTATTAGTACAAGAGAAAAACTAACTGACCATACTAGACAAAAACCAAGTATATCCTTCAAGAATCTAAAATGAAAGAGAGCCATCAAGTCTATGACCTTGCTAGTAGACTCAGAAGGGAACCATAACATCCATGACCTTGACTACAAGAGAACCATCAGGCCCATGACCTTTCTAGCAGTGCAACAAGAGACCACAAACTAGGAGGACAACAAGAAAACCAGCAGGGCCACAAGAGTCCCAGCAAAGTCACAAAGGAACCATAACATCCATGACCTTCTTTGTTGAACTACAAGAGAACCATTTCTATCAAGGAAATTAGAGGACCACAAACTGAGGACTACAAGAAAACCAGCAAGTCAGGGCCACAAGTGTCCAAGCAAGGTCACAAGGGAACAATAAAATACATGACTTTCTTTCGAGTAACTACAAGAGGACCACAACCTTGTTAGGAAGACTACAAGAACACCAGTAAGTTCACATCACTATCGAGATCACAAGAGTGAGTGAGTGAGTTTAGTTTTACACAGAACTCAGCAATATTCCAGCTGTCTGTAAATAATTGAGTCTGGACCATACAATCCAGAGATAAACAGCATGAGCATCAATCTGTGCAACTGGGAACCGATGACATGTGTCAACCAAGTCAGTGAGCCTGACCACCCAATCCCGTTAGTCGCCTCTTATGAGGGTTACTGAAGATGAATTCTAACCCGGATCTTCATGGGTCCTGATCACAAGAGAACCAGGAAGTCCATGACCTAGTTAGCAGGGTTAGAAAGGAACTGCCAGTTAGCAGGGTTACAAAGGAATGGAAATGCAAAATCAGATACATTCATGATTTTCTTTGCCTGGCTAGTTGCCATCAGACCATGTCCTAGTCCTTGTGCAGCATCAGAGAGCTGCAGTTATTGAAACAAGAAGCCTTTTCCAATCACCAGGACAATCTCTTCTTCAAGAAGGTTAGATGGAGCAATCAACTGTTTTTCCAAGAACATCTGGGGTGAGTGGACTGACTTTGCTTGGTTTTACGCCGCTTTTAGCAATATTCCAGCAACATCACAGCGGGGACACCAGAAAATGGGGGTTGGAGGGGTGGGGGTGGGGGTGGGGGTTGCTCTCTTGTAGCACTTAGCACAAGCAAATTGTAGATGTGATTTCAGTTGTCAGTTTCAGAAACATCAGAGGTGTCACTCAACAGTCTCCATATAAGTCTTATTCCAGTTTGCTTCAAGTGAGTGAGCTTTTAGCAATATTTCAGCAATATCACGGCAAGGGACACCAGAAATGGGCTTCACACATTGTACCCATGTGGAAACTGAACTTGGGTCTTCAGCGCTTTAACCACTAGGCTACCACACCGCCCCAGTTTGCTTCAAGAACAACTTGTTACATCTTCATCACACCACATCATAAAAGAGTTTGACAGTACCAAAAGATTCTAACAGCACATACAGGACCAAATAACATACACAGAGTTAGTGAGACTGAAGCACTCTCTTCAAACACCACAGCCATAAATCAATGGCAAAGCATGCAACCAACAGCCAGCTGGTCTCTCGATGGTCTTTCATCTAATAAGGATACACCATAATTAGCCTATGTGGACATCTAATCCACAAATTACTTCCTACGAGGACTCATCCTTGGTGTAAGGTGGATGTTTAGTAAATAACTATCTATCACTGCTATGAGTGCAAGTGCTTGTCGCTTATGAATATACAGTTAGGAAGAGTTACATCAGACAGTCAAGGAGAGGGGATGCTATAGGATTGGTATGGAAAACAAGCAATAAAATGAAATGATTCCATTGGAGAGTCCAACTTCTCCAGAGTCAGAGTAACTGATGGTGAAGACATGAACATTTGCAAGTGAAATATAGCATTAATTCTTGAAAGAGGGAATGTAATTCAAGTGAATAACCTTTATTACCCAAGATAAAATTCGGAAATGGCTTAAAACACAAGCACGTCAAATAACATATTTTCATAGCATCATGCCAATGTATGAAGGATTACTTGCTTGGGTAATAAAAGCCTACATGTATTGATCACACAGGTGAGCTACTGCAAGGGAGCAAGCATTTTTTAGTACAGCTACAGTCTTCTCCTTACCATGCCCCTATATGTTTAAACCCATGCTTTACAATGAAGGAGTAATAATCGATGACATCTTCTCTAGTTCTAAAAAATAGTGAAAAACTATGCTACAGTTTTTCAAAATGAACTAATCAGATTAACCACTGGATTAGTACTAGTGGCTTGTTACTCAATGACTATACTTATAGATTTCAACCTGACTTCTACAATATTTGGCCAATCAGTAGTGACCACAAAACAGCCATGAGATTGACCACAACTGTAGAATCTCAACTTGCTCATCGTTCAGTAACTTGTCAGTGTGTTAATACTTATCAAGCCAAGCATAACTACCTTTGTCAAAGCTTTCCTCACAAGGGAATGTACGTCCGTACCTTGACTCTGAAACGTTAGGCATGGCTTCACACTCACTGATAGAAATACGACAAGTGTGCTTTACCCTGTATTCACAACAAACCATTCTAACAGTCCTCAGACGGACATGGTCTTGGGATTTGCTAACATATAATAAGAATCTAAGCAGAATTTTTTTTATTTTGCTTGAAAAATATTATAGCAGAACCTAGGCTGCAAAAATGCAATCAGAACTAAAGAAAGCAATCGATGAAATAAGCAATGACAAACAGCAAACAGCACATGTGCAGAACAACATTCAAACAACACAAACAAAGGCTCTCTAAAAAAAAAATCTAGAAAATCTAGGCCCTGGTCTACAGACGGTTTTGTGAAAAATTCAGCTGTATTAGTGGGGGACAAGTCTTTCCGTTTTTATAAGTTTTCGGAAATTTGTTGCTAGAGTTATAGTGTAGATTAAGTGTCTCGATGCATAAACTATTCTTACCAATTACCTTACTGTCTAATATATTATGTGTGTATTCTTTGTGTGATGAAAACTCAAGTTTGCTGTTAATGCAAGGAAACAAGTGTTGCACTGTTTTTCCAATTTCCTCCCATATTTCATTTTGAACAAGTTGGCAGAAACAGTATACCAGGTAAAAAAATCAATAAGATATATATATACCCTTGAACACATGGCAAACAATATTTCTGGTATTTATGAAGGTGACAAAATACATACTAATACCAAATAGTGCCATTATTTCAGGGTTATTGAAGTCAGTTACTGAATTCAGATGCATCACATCAGAATGGCCTTAAAATCCATGAAATGCTAGCAATCAGCATCCAGCATATACAACTTCTTGTTTTGCACAAACTTTATCAACTCGATATTTCGGGGCTCAATTTCAGTGTCAAATCAGGAGATATATTACAAATTGGCACTTAATGTTTTCAAATATCCAAATAATATTTGCTGAGTCAAACCCAACAAGAAATGAGAAAAAATAATTGGTGAGCAGTTTCTGAAAATACTCTCTTATATATGAACAATTCAACAATGTCAAGATGGCAACTGATGCAAAAGTGTCTTTGAGGGGCCCTACCTTGCAATATCTCACTAGCCCATACTCCCCCTTCTGCCAGAAGTAGGTGAAGTGCCCGAAGCCAGTGAGGAAGAGGTACGATGACACTAACACTCGGATGTGCATGTACACCGGCAGCACCTGCAAGGAAATACAGTGTGTGAGTATGGCTTTATGCTGCTTTTAGCAAAGCATATTAGCAACATTCCAGTAATATCATAGCAAGGGACACCAGAAATAGGCTTCACACATTGTACCCATGTGGAGATTCGAACCTGGGTCTTCAGCGTGACAAGCGAACACCACTAGGCTACCCCACAGCACCAAGGAAATGAGAAAAGCCCGTTTCTAGTTCACATATTGAGAAAGCCTTGTGGTAAAACTATGAGTAGGTGCCAACCACCATGACTGTAAACAGTCACATGGCTATAGTTGAAGCCCCTGGATGGATGACCGTGTTTTAGGCAGCTTGACTCAGGAGAGTTTCTAGTACTCCAGTCCCGCCCAACAACACAGGTAACACAAGTGATCTCATCTAAGACAAGTGAGTTTCTTAAAATATGCCTGTTCACTAGAGCTGTGTATCGTGGCCTAAGTGGCGAGACGATATATATCCCGATACCAGTTTAATGAGGTGAGACGATATATCATGAAAGTATTGGCAAGGAACCTGCGAGACAATTATCATCACGATACAATGGTGGCGATACGATACGTATCCCGATACCTTACAATTTCTAATAACAGAGCAGATATGATAAATAAATTGACTGAAACTTTATTTGCTATACAGCAGAACTTGTGTTCCATTCACACACACTTAAAAAGCTGTTCATCTAATAAAGTTTCAGCATTTAATGCTTAAGAAAGTCAAACATATTCAGTATACCTTGATTTAATATATATAAATCTGAAAGTGAAGTTTCCCAATGCTTTCACAAACAACTCAATGTAATTTATATCTGCATTCAGAATCACCTAAGTCTGCTTTCTGAATTTTATCTTCACTTTGTTCTCTTTCATAATAACGCTAAGACATCATTCATAGTTATATAAATAGTGTTATTTGTCAAACAACTAAAACATATCTGCATATTTCAATTACTTGAAGACAATTATTCTCAGTTCACAGAGTTTGTAAAATGTTCACACTCTGTGACTTATACACCAACTGTTATATTCATGTAACAGACATAACAGACACAAACAAATTCCTTTAAAGTTCAATTTGTTTTTAAAATTCAGAAGAATTTCAAAGAGACTCCTTTCCTATTCCTAATGAAATACTCCTTACAACTTTAAGTAGTATTTAAGTTGTATCGGGATATATCGTCTCTTGTGGCGATACATCGATGTATCATGGACCCTCGCGATATAAATATCCTGATATATTGCCTAAATGTGTTTTGTATCGATGCACTCGAATTATCGCGTAGTTGACGATGTAAACATCGATACTATCGATGAATCCTTACACCACTAGTGTTCACCCAGCAGTGAATGTGTACCCGGTGGAACGGGATGGAATGACTGTTAACCTTCTTGCGCTCACAGGCTGATCATTTGACTGGGTAATAATGTTAGCGCTTTGAGCATACATCTTGTGTACGAAAGCAAAGCAATGTAGGTAAACAAATCATTAACCTTCGATTGGAAGCAGTGAGTGAGTGAGTTTAGTTTTACGCAGCACTCAGCAATATTTCAGCTATATAGCGGCGGTCTGTAAATAACCAAGTCTGGACCAGACAATCCAGTGATCTGAGCAACTGGGATACGATGACATGTGTCAACCAAGTCAGCGAGCCTGACCACCCGATCCCATTAGTCACCTCTTACGACATGCATGGGTTGCTGAAGACCAATTCTACCCGGATCTTCATGGGTCTCGATTGGAAGCAACAGTTGTAGGCTTCAACATGGTAGATTCAAGGACACAACCGTGTGCAGCAATAGCTGCACAACACACGAATATTCTACCCTATCGGTGGAGAAGTATAGCAATAGAATTACAAAAGATATTCAAACACATAAATCAGCACCTTCTCAACCAGGGCCTTGATTTTCAAAGATCTCTTTGCGCTAAGATAGACGTAAGTCAATGTTAATGTATGGCACTTATGACTATCTTATTGCTAAGATAGCTTCGAAAATCTAGAGCCTGGACAACATGTCTCACCTTGCTTGCTCCTGTAAGATGGTAGATAAGGAACGCCAGCTGCATCCAGCCCTTCCACTCATCGGTCTGGTCTCGGTGAAGGACAGCGGTCTGAGGGCAAAACAAACAGAACTCATACACTTCCTGCTGGTGCAGCGTATTCCTTGATAGCAGGGTCTAAATGGTTCTATACAAAGCCAAGAATTTTCTTTAGTAAGTAACACTAACAGTTATCGACTGGGGATCTTGGGAACTATATGATTTATGCATATATTGCATGGCGTGTATCACAAAATTGACACAAGACACAACAAAATCTGAATAATTCCAAGGATCCAGGAAAATTTCGATCCTTTAACATTTCCCTTGCTGAGCACACTAAAATCCATTTTCTACCCTCTGGCTTCAGATTTACGGGCTGAAACAATGACCAGGGGCTCCTTTCACAATGCACTAAGGTGATCGTAAGGCACTCAGGTAACCTTAGTGCAATGTTAAAGAATGGGAGTTAAGGTTAAGCATAGTAAAGGTTGCAGGGATAAATCTACCCGCGCGTCCTGCGTAATATACGCATGAAAATTTGAAAGGACGCACAAATATTTTACATGTGCGTCCTGTGGATGCATACATATTCACTGATCATACATGCTTTATCGGACAGATGCTTCGGCAGCCGGTCCATATCAAAGTTGTCAAACAGCAAAGTAACAATGTTTCGTGGAAATAATTAAACAAATTGAATAAACTGAAGAATAAAATCAACAACAGTACTAATATTAGTCATAAAAGTTGTCAAACATACATGATAACTTACTATTTCCATCTTTATTGAGCGATCGTGTAGTGTAATTCAAAAGACATCTCGGCTTTCATCGCCTCGAACTTAGCGCTCGGACACGATGTTTAATGGCTAAAATATATGCATAAAGCATTTTTGTCACAGGTCATAACCTAGCACGATACGTCCACTAAGTTCCATAATATACGTATAGGTGGTGATTTTTTGCGTAACACGTTCAGAATACCATGATTTTACCCAAAACTTCCGTCTGAATCTATAAGTTTTTGTTTACGAGGACGGTATCCATTGCTTTAATGTGATTGGCTGCCTTAGGGTCACATGCATGATTTCGCCCAATCACGACCCTTATAGCAGACTGTGGCGAAAAAGCGTCATTAGAAACCAATCTTTATCCAATAAAAATACTCTTGGCAAGGGTACAGTGATATTGTTGATGTTCTGAGCTTTCGAACGACAGCAGCCATCAAACGAATCGCCTTACATGTTATTCATACGAAGCTTCGAAAACGGAGGTATTTTCCACTGTTGTATCACGCTACCGAGCGGAAAGGCACTGATAACGGGAAATAGACCACCATACATATTATTTGAGAAATCTTTTTATAATAATTTTCCGATTACGTAAAAATGAAAAAAAGAAAAGAAAAAGGTAAGGGGATATTATGACATGTTACAAATGGAAAAAAATCACCGCATTTTTTGCTTCCTTTGTGGTTTATCCGGACATTATAATTGTGTAAGCATGCATTTTCATTTAAATTAACTTATTTAAGTTGTAGTTGCATTGTTTGAATAATATGATAAAAGATAAATTTCATATTTATAAACAGGTAGCTAGGATTAGACCTTTCAAATGGTGTATGATATGTAGTAGCAATAATGTTTTACAAGCTGATATTTTTCTTTCTGAGCTGGACATCGGCGCTATACAAATGTATGTATGTATGTATGTATGTATGTATGTATGTATGTATGTATGTATGTATGTATGTATGTATGTATGTATGTATGTATGTATGTATGTATGTATGTATGTATGTATGTATGTATGTATGTATGTAAAATTTGAGGGACTCACAAAAATTTCAAAAGGACTCATTACTTTTCAACTGAGCGAGTCCCAGGACTCACTCACTAAAAATTGTAGATTTATCACTGGGTTGCTTCGTGAAAGGAGGCCCTGGTTTCTACATTTAAGGGAGCAAGTTGTGCTGTGTCTGACAAATCCTTAGACTGCAGGTAATATAGAGTGAGTAAGTTTGGTTTTAACTTTTATGCCGCTTTTAGCAATATTCCAGCAATATCATGGTGGGGGCACCAGGAATGGGCTTCACAAAGTGATTGACTACAGTCAGGTCAAACAATAGCCCTGAAGGCTGGTCACATAGAGTCAACTGAATGCTTGCAACTTGTTACCTTGTCTGTCTTCTCAGTGAAGAAGAAACCGAGAATCATGACATAGGCAAAGGGGAGGAAGAAGTTCACGTGAGTGTAGTACTTGTTTTCTTTCATGAAGAAATTGGTCCTGGAAATGAAATTGTATGGTTGCTATTAACGTAAATGATCTCATAATTATCATCATCACCGAAACAGAAAAATATAAGTGTCTAGTTTATAACTGTGACAAGTTCCATTACTTCTATATCTTATAAGAACAGACCGGCATTGGTGTGCATGCACGCAATGATGCACAATTAAACAGGTGACACTCAGTCACAGCTCTGTATTTCCATAAACAGCCATTTCTTTCACCGAGGAACGGAAGGTCCATTGTAAAGAGTTTGTTATGATAACAACCATGTAAACCATGTTTATAACCAACATTTGTAACAAACTGGTTTGGGGGTAAAGTGCACTTGCTGTATAATTAAGTAGACATGCATACAATAAAATACAGTCATAATAAGGTAAAGTCACAGGTCCCTGTGTTTTTGTTATAAGCACAGTTTAGAAGATAATAGTTTTTGTAAGGGCACTGCCCATAATCTATTGATGTTCGTTCTATCCGTGTTCTGTGTAGCAATGGGATACGTTGAACCTGTAAGTGTTCAATCTACAGGGCCTAGCTACATTACCTGTCACAGAGGTAGAAATATGCCATGATGACGCCCAGCTTGGCCAGCGATACCATGACATCATAACACCCTTCATGAGATTCTTGCAGGCCGTTCTGTCCATTACGCTGTCCATTTTCTGCAACAAAGGAGGCAATGAGACACACATCTCGAACAATGCCACACTTTGTGTTCTTCTTATTTGACACCTCACTCTGCCATATTATGGGCTCTACAAACGTGTCACTGTGAAATACATCAGAAACACTCATAATCACATTTTGTTTACATCTCGTTTAATTGCCCACTCTGCAATATTCCAGTTATACATGTTTGATAAAACTAATTAGAAGGCTTCAAAGTATGCTGATTACAAACTGAGAAACAGAGGCAAATCTGACATATAAATCCATAATCATCAGCTTCTGGCACAGCAAAGGGACACAACTCTGCACAGTAAATTGTGGTGGCTAAGACACAGCTGGGTCATCAAAGATTCTATCTTCACTACAAGTCTTTGTGTAAAGAAACATATGATCCACATATTTATTCTGTATGGTTTCTTCACAATAAGGCTGTAAATATGGTAAAAATATGTCAATTTGTACAGAGGCGAACTATTTATACACCGCGAATAAACCATAACACATGAAGACAGAAATCTACGGGAATCTTAAAATGACGACTGATAGTAGCATAAACAATCATACTTAACTGTCGCTGTAATGGATTTCCCAAACATAATTAAATAATGAGCCAAATCCCATCACGAATTAGCTTAAAACAGCAATGTGTGTTGTGGCGCCATGGAAATTGGTAACATGACAGATGGTTTGATACAAAACAGATTACCATGAAACGACTCGGAAAGAAATAATACAGCAGTATGTTTTATTTATTCATTTAGATACAAACGATCATCATGAAGCTTAATAGTCACTTAACACTCAATCATCTCATTTACAACAACCCGCTTGTTTGAAATCACAAAAAGCTTCATATACTGTATAAGTTAATTCGTTCAGATCGTCAGAATTCGAACATAAGACTGATGTGTTTTCATCTCTTCCGAGTAAACGGATTACTGTGTACCAGTATATCTACTGCACAGATAGGGATTTCCTATTCTGAAAGGTTGAGATGGATTTTGACGCCTTGGCTGCAGAATTATAGTTATGTAATATCAAGTAAAAATTACTTCCTGCTAACTTCATGGCATAACTTTATCACACTTATAAAACACACTGCAACATCTAGCCATTTATGCTTAAACCATTTGTTTGACAAAATGCATTCGACTGAAAAGAAAAATAATACATTCATTTCCCAGTTTATTCATTTGGGTCACCCATTTTGTTCGGGGGGAGAAAGGAGGTAAGCAATTTTGTATATGACACGCAGGGGTTTCACTTACTTTGTACAGAATTCACATTGTTCATGCTTCAATATAAAAAATCATCACCCCCACCAAGCCATAAATTATGAACGTTCCCTTACCTTTTTGGGTGGTATCAAAAGATTGTTTAAGCAAAACAAGACATTCTCTTCTGTATAATGAAGGAGTTAAATATGTCTGAACACAAATTGTCACAGCCACCACAGGACCCAAGATGACCCGCAAGACACAGCAACTGTGAGAGGATGGTTCAAATGATTATACGATGTCTAAAACCACGTTTTCATGACTTGGGAAAAGTGGGGAACACCATCAAAATACTACTGAAATCATATGAGCCAAAATATTCAACTGATTTACTGAAGCCACAATTCCAACATATAAATAATACCTGATAGAAACACATGACTCTGACTGAGTTTGGAAGTCACCGAGTTAGCAAAATTCAGCACAGAACCAGAAATTCAACTCTGTAGCCATGTGGGCATGAACCATCTTAAGCAAAGCATGAACGCTTTGTAACCACACCACTGAGTCAAATCATTTGTCTGAAAGAAATCCACAGTGACTCTGCCACATGACCTCATGTGAAGTCACCATGAGTGAAGAAAACATTTTCTCTATGATTGGCCTAAAACCATGAATTCAATCTCTCTGAAGCCATGGAGAACGCCATCAATAACAATGCGAAGAACCATCTTAAGCAAAGCATGAACACTGTAATATATAGTCCACTTAAAGTCAAATCATTTGTCTGAATCCGCAAATCCACAGTGACTCTGCCACATGACCTCATGTGAAGTCACCATGAGTGAAGAAAACATTTTCTCTATGATTGGCCTAAAACCATGAATTCAATCTCTCTGAAGCCATGGAGAACGCCATCAATTACAAGATGAAGAACCATCTTAAGCAAAGCATGAACACTGTAATATACAGTCTGTTTGTTGAACACTGCACTCAGCAACATTCAAGCTATAGGGTGGTGGACCAGACAATCCAGTGAGCAACATCTTGAGCATTGATATATATGCAATAGGCGTATGAAGACATGTCAAGCAAGTCAGTAAGTCTGACCACAAGATCATGTTGGTTGCCTCTTATGACAAGCATGGGTTGCTGAAGACAGGACCTTCACGAGCACTGTAATATACAGTCCAATTAAGGTCAAATCATTTGTTTGAAGCCGCAAAGCCACAGTAACTATGCCACATGACCCCATGTGTAGTCACCATGAGTGAGGGAAACACTTTCTCTATGATTGACCTAAAACCACAGATTTAATCTGTCTGAAGCATTGGAGAACACCATTAATTATGATTCTCATACAAACAACCAAAATCTAACCCTGCTAAACAAAACATGCACACTGGATATTCGTGAAAAATGCTTTTAATTATTATGACTATACTGGCCCCAATCACCCTATTCTGAAGCAAAACATAATGTATTCCCCAAATGAAATAAATAATTGTTTATTGCAGGGCATATACAATAGTCAAACAACTCATGCACAGTGGATCCACGTCTCCTAATCTGAGATGATGTTTTGTGCTGAAAACACAGATAAGGTTAACAATAACTAATCACTGCAAGTTCTTTACTGGTACTTCAGTATTAATGAAAACTATATAACCAAGCAAATTGAAAAGTGTTTTTAGCATTAATTTTGCTTTAGGCCACACCAATTTTATTTCTTGTTTTACAGATCCACAGGTCATATTTTTTTAAGAATAAGAAAAAAAATTAAACTTTTTTTACCCGCTCAAAATATAAAATCCTAATGTTTTTATTGGCCAAAAATGTAAACGTACATGAACCTTTTTTTTGAAGATTTTAAAAAACAAGTGGTCTGGCCTTAAATTATATTCTCATTTCATTTCTGAACTTATTGAACTGACTTCGATAGTTGTTAACAGATTTACAGTGAGTTAATGGCTTTTGTGTTTACACCTCTTTAAGGGAAAAACATCTGTCAATTCTCAATAATAAACAACAACTTCATAGTGCTAATTTAATCATTAATTCAAGCACAGCCTGCTCAATTATCATGAAACAGGAGTGTGTTAGATAAGTGTTCTCTCTGAACAGAAATGCCAAACAATTACTTACTAATTCAATTATGGAATTACTGGGATCTTTCACATTATCTTTAAGAGTGAGTGAGTTTAGTTTTACGCCACACTCAGCAATATTCCAGCTATATGGTGGCGGTCTGTAAATAATCAAGTCTGGACCAGACAATCCAGTGATCAACAGCATGAGCGTCGATCTGCGCAATTGGGAACCGATGACATGTGCCTACCAAGTCAGCAAGCCTGGCCACCCGATCCCATTAGTCGCCTCTTATGACAAGCATGGGTTACTGAAGATCAATATTCTAACCCGGACCTTTCCGGGTCTATTATTAGGATACAAATAAAGATGAGTGAGAGAGTGAGACTGGTTACATGCCGCTTGTAATAATATTTAAGCATTATCATGGCAGGGGGACATCAGAAATTGGCTTTACACACGTGGGGAATCGAACCTGGGCTTTAGGACTGATGAGTGAATGCTTTAACCACTAGTTTACCCAATCACCTCCATTTAAAAATGAGAAACATAAACGGAGTAAATACAAAATATCAGTCCGTAAACAAAACCTGTACAGCGGTGTGTTTGACGTGTTTGACTACGCAATGTCACGAGCGCTACAGGACTCCGCATGATCCGCAGGTGTCATGGCAGCTGTGACTGACGAGGTCAGGTTAATCTATGATGGTCTAAAACCACTTCTCTCAATACTTAGAAAGAGTGGGGAACGCCATCAATTGCACAATTTTTCAATAGATCATCTACACAGAGTGAGTGAGTGAGTTTAGTTTTATGCCGCTTTTACCAATATTCCAGCAATATCACCAGAACACCTGAAATAGGCTTCACACATTGTACCCATGTGGGGAATCCAACCCAGGTAATCAGCGTGACAAGCGGATGCTTTAACCATTTGGCTACCCCACTGTCTCCATCTACACAGAGTCAACAGTCCTGAATTATTTAGACAAATTATTTGATTATTAATTTTACAGCACCGAGGAAGTTGTCTTTGAATTCTGGTGTGTTGGCCTGTTGTCCACACATTTCAGAAGGATGGAAATAATTACAGCTTTTTAAGACCGTTATTTATGATTTCGATAAAGGGTCTGCTCACGCTATATTCATGCTGAATCTCTTACATATCTAAGAATTGATGTAAGTATTTTATAGACAACTGACAAAAAAATGTATACACCAATTTTTTAAGTTTATACCCGCAAAAACACACCAAAACATTTTAAAATAAATTCGAATCACTAATAAGTCATCAATAACAACTTCACAAACTGCTCATGAAATTATTTCTTATCACAAGAAGTGTAGACCACAAGTAATGAGCCCATGTTATTCTGAGGTTGCAACAAACACATCAATTTGTGGGGGTTTCCATTATGGTTGTCTCCCTTTATTACATGCATCACATGACATACCTGCTCTTGCCTTTGCCCCGTTGAGCCTCAGCTGCCGTCGGCGATACAAGCACAGGGCTATGGCGGACACGATACTGAAATAGTAATCACATAAATAGTAACCCCATTCTTCGAAACATTGATTGTGTGCCACAAAATGAAACTATTAACACACCATGGCTTGCATTAAACAATTGAAGTGAGTGAGTGAGTTAGTTTGATTTTACGCCGCTTTTAGCAATATTCCAACAATATCACGGCAAGGGACACCAGAAATGGGATTCACATATTGTACCCATGTGGTGAATCGAACCTGGGCCTTCGCATGACGAGCGAACGCTTTAACCACTAGGCTACCCCACCGCCCCTAATTGAAGTCAGAACTTCAGAGTTTATATGTATACATAAATAAGCTTTGACTCAATTACAATTGCCCAGCTAGCTGACACTGTTAAACAGATTGGAGAGACAGAAATAAACAAACATGGAGAGACGGAAGTAAACATGAGCAGGATATTTCCGATAGAATTTGGCATTACAGTTAGATTTACATGTATACTTCACTTAAACAATGGCTGCATTTCCACAAATATGTTGGTTGGTATGTTGTTTAACGCCGCATTCAGCAATTTTCCAGCTATATGGCGGTGGTCTGTAGATAATTGTACTATACCAGACAATCCAGTGATCAACAGAATGAGCATTGCTCTATGCAATTGGGATACAATGAGATGTGACCACCCGATCCCGTTAGTCATCTCTTATGACAAGCATGGGTTACTGAAGACAAATTCTAACCCGGATTTTCATGGGTTCATAAATATGTATCTTATTATATTGCTGCATTGAAATGAAGTCCAAAGCACCCCAAGTACCCCACCCCCTATTGCCCTACCCTACCCTGATACCCGTTATGTTAAGTCCTGACAGCAATTTGTAAGAAATGACAATACATTCTACAGCTTGGAGGTTAAAATTGGGTGCAATGTTTCATCAGATGTCGCGCTTACATAAGTTTGAAAAGTGGTCAAAGTGTCATGGTGATCTTGAGGATAAAGTCAAGGTCACCTAAATCAACTGGTGTCTGTGTAATCCCCCAATGTAGGCTGTCACCAGCTTTGAAGGTATTAGGTACAAAAGTGCATGAGATATCACATTAACAAAAGTTTGAAAAGTGGTCAAAGTGTTGTGGTGACCTTGAAAATAAAGTCAAGGTCTGCCAAATCCACTGGTGTCTGCCTGATCCCCTAATGTAGGCTGTCACCAAATTTGAAGACATTAGGTAAAACAGTGCATGAGAAATATCGCATTAACAAGAATCAGGACGGACGTACATACACTGCTGAATGCATAGTCCCATGTTTTGCATGGCGGTTTTGGGAAAGAGATGTCAGTCAGGGAAAGCACTGGGATAAACACCGCTTTTAAAAGTATTTCAGTTGGTTAAACATCAAGACAGTTTGATGTGGGACATAGGCTCTTAGTGATGCAGGTCTTTAATGTTGTACCCATGTCGCGATAAAAATAGAAACATAATCTGGGATAAATCAGTCTTTATACCCAGGATCATGGTCCTAAGGGAAGCAACTCTGTAAGATGAACTGCAAGAGATGTCAGTCTCTGGGCATGGCACCGTGATTACAAGGTAGAGTGTGTGAGGTGTTTACCAGACAAGGAAGAACGCGGCAGTGATGATCTGCAGGGTGGTTGCCTGCTCCGGTTGGTTGCAGCAGGTGCCGTCATGGTGGTTCATGTCGTTATTGCAGTACATGTTGAGCAGAATCTGGACATCCTGTATACACATAAAGGCACAATACAGTCAAGAAATCTAAGACATGAGAGTGAGTGAGTGAGTGAGTGAGTATGGTTTTATGCCATTTTTAGCAATATTCCAGCAACATGATGACAGGGGACACCAGAAATGGGCTTCACACATTGTACCCATGTGGGGAATCGAATCCGGGCCTTTGACGTGATGAGCAAACACTTTAACCAGAAGGTTACCCCATCACCCAATAATAATGAGAATAATTATAACGCATTATTTATAGGCTTGATATCCTGCTCAAAGCGCACAATCTGATCATTATTACCCCAGATAACCCAAGCTGCCTGTTAGGTGCAAGAAGGTTAATAGTCTCACGACTTATTTCTCCGGGTACCTATTTTCTGGTATGTGCACAGAGAAGCAATTTTGAACAATTTCACTTGCCTAAGGTGAGGTCACATGTATATGCCTCGTTGTGGGGCAGGACTAAGTCCTAGAATCTCTCAAGAGTCAAGCTGTCACACATAGTCACCCATCCAAGGTCTCTCTACACCCAACGTAGCTTAACTTCAACTGATTGTGACCTGAGCTCTCTGCACAGAACCACACGTCACTACCAACTTTCTGTTTTTGCAATTTAGTTGTTGCTAACACAACAGAAGGATGGTATAATGGGAAACAGGTAATTTATATGAACTATATTTTAAAACTTACCAGATCGAGGGCCAGCTTTGAGATATGCAGTCCATCCTCAGACTCCTTCTTCATCCCCTGAGCTACAAGACGTGATGACTTCCACAACTTGGCATCACTGTGCCGCCTGACAACAAACATCAGAATGATGATGATGATGATGATGATGATGATGACCTCAAAATGACAATCACAAGCATCATTTTCATCATCAACTTAGCGACCAGTGGTATTTGGCATATATATTTTACTCCAGCAGTAATGCTAAGAAACAAAAAATAACAAAAGAAATTTGAGACAATTTCAGTGTTTCAATCAGTCACTGGTCCACAGCCAAATTCTAAGTTTATTAGGAATCTAAGATAAGGCCAGACCAATTTTACTTCTTGTTTTACGGATTTTTGACCCCAGAAAACCTAAAGGCAGGAGGAAAAATAATAATTAAAATCACCAGTCAAAGTAATATTCCTTCTAAATATTAAAAGTATTTTGCTTCTGGCATTTTATGAAGTGTATATGGGGCAAAAAACAATCAAACAAAACTTTTCTTGTAAGTTTACATTTTTGACCAATAAAAACATAAGGATTTTATTTTGTGAGCTGGGAAAATTATTATTATATTTTTTTCTTATTCCTGAAAAATGTGACTGGCAGATCCGTAAAACAAGAAATAAACTTGGTCTGGCCTAAGCTGATGAAACCGTATCTGCAGGAAATAGTCTGGCTGGTCTAGATTATATATATATATTGGTTAGCTAGATCTGACAAAGTCTGATATAATAAGGGATTTGCCAAGTCAATGTTGCTGTGGCTTAACACAATACTACATCATATTCACATGGTTACTGCATTCTCTACAACTCAGTCTTTACAAGTAATACTAATATGATGGTAAGCATGCAAAGTTTCTTTCAACTTAAGTAGTTACTGAGAAAACCTGTCCCCATTCCATCCACTATGTACCAAGTAACACAAGGAAACAGAAAAACAACCACATTCAACATGTTCAGTCCAGATTGTTGCCATGAAACACAATAAAATATTTTTGATATTTACACCAAAATATCTAAAAGCAACAGCCAAGCAAGTGTTTGATACAAATGCAAATAAAATAATGAAAGAAAATATTAACTGTTTTCTACGGAAAGTTCTAGAAACACAATGTGACAGCCATTCCAATATATCCCCTCTCATCATACTTATCATCACGATCATGAACAAAAAGCAACATCATTCCCTTTTATGTTTACATCATTTGTCTGAATCCGCAAATCCACAACGACTCTGCCACATGACCCCATGTGTAGTCACCATGAGTGAAGAAAACATTTTCTCTAAGAATGGCCTAAAACCATGAATTCAATCTCTCTGAAGCCATGGAGAACGCCATCAATTACAAGATGAAGAACCATCTTAAGCAAAGCATGAACACTGTAAATTACAGTCCAATTAAGGTCAAATCATTTGTCTGAATCCGCAAATCCACAATGACTCTGCCACATGACCCAATGTGAAGTCACCATGAGTGAAGAAAACATTTTCTCTATGATTGGCCTAAAACCATGAATTCAATATCTTTGAAGCCATGGAGAACGCCATCAATTACAAGATGAAGAACCATCTTAAGCAAAGCATGAACACTGTAATATATAGTCCACTTAAAAGTCAAATCATTTGTCTGAATCCGCAAATCCACAGTGACTCTGCCACATGACCCCATGTGAAGTCACCATGAGTGAAGAAAACATTTTCTCTATGATTGGCCTAAAACCATGAATTCAATATCTTTGAAGCCATGGAGAACGCCATCAATTACAAGATGAAGAACCATCTCAAGCAAAGCATAAACACTGTAATATATAGTCCACTTAAAGTCAAATCATTTGTCTGAATCCGCAAATCCACAGTGACTCTGCCACATGACCCCATGTGAAGTCACCATGAGTGAAGAAAACATTTTCTCTATGATTGGCCTAAAACCATGAATTCAATATCTTTGAAGCCATGGAGAACGCCATCAATTACAAGATGAAGAACCATCTTAAGCAAAGCATGAACACTGTAATATATAGTCCACTTAAAGTCAAATCATTTGTCTGAATCCGCAAATCCACAATGACTCTGCCACATGACCTTATGTGAAGTCACCATGAGTGAAGAAAACATTTTCTCTATGATGATTGGCCTAAAACCATGGATTCAATATCTTTGAAGCCATGGAGAACGCCATCAATTACAAGATGAAGAACCATCTTAAGCAAAGAATGAACACTGTAATATATAGTCCACTTAAAGTCAAATCATTTGTCTGAATCCGCAAATCCACAATGACTCTGCCACATGACCTTATGTGAAGTCACCATGAGTGAAGAAAACATTTTCTCTATGATGATTGGCCTAAAACCATGAATTCAATATCTTTGAAGCCATGGAGAACGCCATCAATTACAAGATGAAGAACCATCTTAAGCAAAGCAATAATGCTGTAATATACATTCAAATTAAGGTCAAATCATGTTGGATCTGACGCCATATCACTTAATACATGGGTTGCTGAAGACCAAATCTAACCCGCATCTTCACAGGTTATCCTTGTAACCCTAACATGGCAATTACACTGCAACAGTGTATGCTTGAGAAAAGACCATTACTTACAACAAATCCAAAGCAACCTTGTTGTAGTCATCAATTTGTTCATTAGTTATCATTGAGCGGTTTGCATTCAGTTTCTCTTCCACCACTGGATCTGAAGAAACAACACCAAACAACATTAACAAGAAAAACAGATTTTATGGGAAAATGCAAAAATTGATGAATTTATGTTGTAATTCAAATAGTGAGCGAGTGAGTTTAGTTTTACGCCGCGCTCAGAAATATTCCAGCTATATGGCGGCGGTCTGTAAACAACCAAGTCTGGACCAGACAATCCAGTGATCAACAGCATGTGCATCGATCTGCGTAATTGGGAACCAATGACATGTGTCAACCAAGTCAGCGAACCTGACCACCCGATCCCGTTAAGTCACCTTTTATGACAAGCATGGGTAACTGAAGGTCAATATTCCAACCTCGATCTTCGCGGGTTTTGTATTTCAAATAACATGGAACTTAAAATACAACTGTGATCAAGTTACTAACATATTTATGTTTGGTTTGTTTGTCATATTCATGACATATTTCATACTTATACCAAAACACCCAAAAGCTGAGCATGCACATAAAGCAGGGAAACAAACCTTTCAATATTTCCCACCAGACCACAGGACCAGTAAGTAGACAATAATTAGTGGTCCTGTCTGTAATTCACTGGTCCAAAATTGAAAATTTTAACTATAAATTGTATATTTATATACTTATCCTATCTCACGACTTGCACTCTCTCTCTTCATTCGACCATGAGTGGAAACGAATTAAAACTTTGCTCAAGACCTACCTTGCCCCTCTCCCCGTGCTGTGGATGCCTTCCTGTCTCAGTCGTGCTCACTAGTCCATGACAGCACGAGGCATGCGCAGTCCTCACCCACGTGATCACCTCACATACTCATTCTCGATCTTGGAGCCATAAAAGGACAAAACCGGAACGGTGGTAATCTATGTAGTGGGGAGGTAGGGAGGATTCTTATCGCATGAGATAGGATAAGTATATAAATATACAATTTATAGTTAAAATTTTCAAATTTTTAAACTTATCCTATCTCACGACTTGCACTTATCCCACGGTAGGAAGGTGGGTCATAGATTACCCGGAATTCAAGCGATAACAGTTAAGTGTTACGCCCAAACAACCGTAGGAAGCAACTACAAGGTAGGCCAATAACTACCAAGTTACTATGTGCGAGGGTTAGTTCGAACCCATTGACTTACTAAGCACAATTGCTCCCAGGGACCAAGATTCCCGAGCAATGTGGTGTTCAGTCACTACCTTCACTAAGTGAAAGGACGTAGCTTAACGAGTGTAATCAGTCGCATCGCCATGATTTCCAAGGTACCCCCGTAATAAAAGTCTAACGACTAGTATCGGGCCAGACCCTGCTTCGAAACAACCCCCACAGACACCGTCCCGAGGAGGGTGAAAGAGAAATTGAATCGGTAAAACTCACAATTTTAACGTTCAGTACCACAACATCATCTTATGACTTCCACTACTTACCACAGTAAGATCACATAGATGTGTATAGGCACTTAGGAGCATGAACGCCACGGCGTAACACTTCGGGAAGGACTCACTTCACTGACTTAATTACTCCGTGGAGCAGAGGACAGTAAGTGAGGTGGCTAATTTCGTATTCTCAAACAAATGAGAGGAGAAATCTAAATCCCGAAGAAATAAAGACGAAATCAGAAAAAGTTTTCCAGATTTAGTCAGATTGTACACAAGCAGAAACGATCGCGACTTGGGATCAACTGCACAGTGGGATCCATATAGCATCGGAGCACAAGGAAGTTCATTATCTGGGCGGTTGTGCCGCTGATAAGTGCTGGGCAAGGACAAGTGGTCCAAACTGATGAAGGCCTTGAATATCCGCCACCCACACATCTCTGAGGTAATGAGACGAAAATACTGTGTCAGATCGCCAAAAACACCCCTCCATTATGGCAGTTAACGAGCAGTTGCTATGCAACGCCATAGTAGAAGCCAAAGCCCTGGTTTCATGAGGGTTGACTGCCGTCGAGGTGGTGGCAAACCGCAAAAGTGTAGGCTCAGAGTATTGTAGCTCAGAGCCAATATGAGAGTGTTGTGCGAGAGACTTCGCCTTTGGAAGCCGTGAGACAAGGGTATAAATAGTCTCTACGCAGACGGCGGCGCTCTTGGCGATGCTTTTAAGGTAAATGCGAAGTGCTCTGACTGGACAAAGAGACAGATCTTCGACATCTGCTGGACCCAATATGGTAGACAAAGGCGGATTGTAAAAGACGATCAGGTTGACCCGCAACTGGTTTTTGCAACAAAATCCCAGCACTAACCCAAAAATACCTTGCCATGTCTACTCTGTTCAAAACGGACACGGTTGACATCTAGAGCATGCAGTTCTGATATAACGTGTCGCTGTGGCCAAGGCAATAAGAAAAAGGTCTTGAATGAAACCTGTTCAAACTCCTTGTCCTGTAAGGGTTCATAATGCTCGACACTAAGTGGCTTAGGACCACGGATAAGTCCCAAGCTGGTGGATCTAAATTTCCTGGATTGGTCGGCTAGCTTAAAAAGAACAAAGTAAGTACTGCAGTTCAGGTACCGCCAAAACCTTCGCATCAGAAGTTGTGGCTAGGACCGAATTAAGAGCCGCCAAGTAGGTGGCTAAAGTGGAACCCTTGAGTTTCCTTGTAGCCCGCAAATGTTGTAAATATTCGCAACAACCTGGGGCAAGCAGTAGTAGGGGAAGCGATCCCTCTGACCGACAATAACATTCAAATTTCTTCCACTTATCGCCATACAAAGAACGGTAGACGCACGATGAGCTGCAGTGATAGCTGAGGCCACTCTGTGAGAATAACCTTTGGCTATTAGTGATTTCTGCAAATGTGCCATAACGTGAAGATTGAACGTATGTGGTGACTCTGATACACCCGAAAAGCGGATGAACTAGTAGGTCGTCCCCGCGACGGGAAGAGGAATGCTGCTTCGACTGACTAGACTTTTTAGGCCGATTTAACCAACTCTCGCTGGCCAAAATGGCGCTACCAAAAGTAGTTGTACTTTGTTGGTTAACAGAATTTTCTGAATGACCTTGTGAAGTAGAGCCGGAGGTGGAAACGCGATAAGCGTTGAGACCGTCCCCAGGAATGGCCAGGCGCCGCGTGATCCCAAGCTAGTGGATCTGGAATGGAGATACTTAATCTCGGCAGTTGGGAGTTGAACCCAGTGGCAAACAGGTCGACACTCGGTCGAGAGATCGGGTAAATTATCGTCCTAAAAATCTTGAGTTGCAGGAGTTGTCACTCTGTGGCAATCACGCTCTTGAACGAAGACAGAGCGCCGGGCAATCAACGCTCTTTGTTCCGGAATCAAACGTGCCTGGCTCTGCGACGATGTTGAGAGAATCTATCAGAAGATAGAAACGAAACGCCCACTGTAGGAGTAATGCCTTGAACCCAGAATGTTTATAGGTGATTGATGTACCACACTACTGCCACTTGATTGTCGGACTGTATCAGCAGGTGAGACATCTTGAGTAGAGCCGCCCAGTGCTGAATCGCCAGTAATACTGCCTTGAACTCCAGAATGTTTATGTGGAAGTGACTTGTCAAGTCTCGCGAAACTGACCACTGCCCTGCCACTTGATGCTGAAGGAAGTTATGGGCACATGGGTTGCCAACCTATTCTAGAGACCTTCTAGAGCGCCCACAAACAACTGATGGGTTGGACTGAAGGGCACCAAAGAGACGCCGGCGAAACATTCTGTACGCTGAGCCACCAACGCAGAATTGGACGTGAGTTCCCTGGGTAACCGAATCAACACCTGAGGGTTGTTGGTTTGAAGATGAGGGCGCAGAAATAACTGAAGTGGGCTAAGCTGCAGTTGACCTCTGTAAGTCAGAGCCTGAGCTGACGTTAAGACGCCCAGCAACTCCTGCCACTGGCGAGAGTTCTGGGGTGATCCAAGGCTAGCGAACCAGACGCTGAATTTTGGTCCACCTGTCCTGGGGAACAAACAACTTGGCTCGTTCTGTGTCGAAGATTGCTCCTATGAACTGAAGTCTGCGAGTCGGTGTTAACTCCGACTTCAGAATTGAGGAGCCACCCTAACTGTTTGAGCAGCCTGATGGTGAACTCCGATGGATTTGAAGAACTTTGATCCTGTTGTGCCTGAATACAATCGCCGATATAGCTTTCAAGGTCACTCCCCGAGAATGTAGGAAACTGCTGATGGGTTTGGTCACCCGAGTAAAAAGCCACGGGTCAGAGATTCCAAATGGAAGGACGTTCCATTGGAAGTGATGGCCCCCGAAGGTGAACCTTAGATATTTCCGATGATCTGGGTGAATCGGAATGTGCAGGTATGCGTCTTGAAGATCGTGGGATATGAGGAAATCCCCTTCTTCAGAATTGAGCGGAGAAGACTGACCGATACCATGCGAAAATGAGGTGGTTGTTGCAGGAATCGAAGCTGAATGTCTTCATATTGAAGATGAGACATAACTTGCTGGAGTTTTTCTTTGGCACCAGAAAAATCGGGAGTAAAATCCTGGAGTTATGCACACCTGATCTAGTTGTTCTATCGCATGTTTCTCCAGTAGAGTTTGGATTGTAGTCGAAAGGACTGCAGCCCGATCCAGAGGATATATTTGCTGCAAGGGTTGAATGGTGAGGGTGGATCCCCACCACAGGCAGTCGATAGCCGCGGAATGAGAGTCATTGTGACAAATGGATCTCCCAGAAACTCCCAGTTGGGAGCAAACAGACCTAACCTCCCTCCTACAGGGGAATCGAACACTGGAACCACCGGATCCGCAGAACCAATCCGAAGCTCTGACTTCCGTGAGTCACTGTTTGGACTCGTCTATGTCCAGTTCCAGTGTCGGGTCGATAGGGGCGACGTGATGCGGAACCACGAAATGGCCTCCTGCCTCTGCCACGTGGTTGAGAAGCGCCGTGCCTTTCATACAGTCCCGGAGGTCTGGGTTGGAAGGGGTAAATTGTGCGTTCGGGCGATGCCGCGATAGAATCTTGGAGCTGAATTTTTGCAATTCCAAGAGATCGACAGATACTTGAAATTGGTTAAGACGGTCCACCTTGGATGCTTACTTCTGCAATAGCCCCACTGAACACCGTGATCCCCACCATAGTTGACGAAATAATTCAGCCTTGAATCTATCTTCCCATGAGGAGAAATTCAACGGACCCGCCGCCGCATTGCAAGTAAATAGCCAAAAAATGAGACAATTGCTCGAAGACCACCTGGAATTGGTCTAAAATCAGAGTCATACTACCCCTGATGTGCGCCCTGGTCCGTGATATGCATGATTGACAGCCTCCACCACAGCGCCAACAGCTGAAATAATGCAGCTAATGGCAGGGATAGCATGGCTAACCGTAGTATCTAAGTGAGCCAATTCCCTGTCTTCCACCAAATACTGGCTAAATGGAACGCTTGCCACAGACCATGGAAATGTCATCATCGACTGAAGGTGCCGCTGACCAAAGTTTCACACCATGAGTATGTGCCGTGGATGGTCGGAACCTTGGAGCAGACAAACCATCCTTCGCCCTTCTAAGCTTGTTGAAAGCCGCCAAGAGAAGAAGGCAATTGTTGAAGACATGGACGAAAGGAAGTGTGATACTGGCAACATCTCTATTAGTCATGGCATAAGACGTGGCCAAATCATCTGGAGATTTACTAAAAGGTAGCTGAAGTTTTTCAACTATCCAGGCTAGCACGCGTATGGGCGGTTCAACAACATCAAAACTGCCATCAGGAGTGGAGATGTCTGACTGCCCAGGTGAAGGGAAAGTAGTCTGAGATCGAAGTCTGATCCCTCAAATCCCCAGAACGATTATTGCTAAGTAACGCCAGACGCATTGTTGAACATGTGAGGACGAAATGACACTGATGCCAAGCCGACGTAACGGCACGAAGCATGGTATCTAAATCCGGGCGCTGGAGAGGAATCAATAGCAGGATTCCAAGACTCAGCAATAATCTGTGACCAAGGCAAAATAGAAGTGGAAAGGTGGAAGGTGATAGCTGATCCACTGAAGCGTAACGCTGCCTAGCAGGTGAAACCACCCGTACAGAACGGCGCTGCTGATGTGTACTATCATGTAAAGGCACTGACCGTGAAGACGCTACTAGCACTAGGCTGGCTAGAGGGGATATTCTGATTCCCCTGAGGTGAATGAGACCGACTTCTATTATCCCTCTGACGAAAGACACCAAGCGGTTAGGTGAACGGATGGAAATGGCTTAACCACTTCGACTAGGTGAGACTGAACGACTACGGGAATCAAAACGCTGTGGTGAGTCGAACGGAAGCACATGTTGAGGTGAGTTGAGTCGGGAATGTGAACCGGTTCGTCCTGGTGAACCTATTTGAGTACGTGAAACAGTACGGCCAGAGGAACCCATTCGACTACGCGGAATCAGTTCGATCAACTGAACTCTTTTCGAGGATGTTCTGGCTGAGCTGCGTGGAGCTCGGCCGTGAGGAGTCGGTTCGGCAGGGTGAGCCGGTTCGGCAGGGTGAGCCGGCTCGGCGGGTGAGCCGGCTCGGGAAAGTGAACGAGACCTAGAACTCCTCCCAGCCGTGGAAGAACGCATTCGAACCTTCGCACCAGATGGTGACTAAACTTGTTTGGGTGAATTGTTCCGTGAGATGAAACCGTGGAAATAGGAGAGCTGGTCGGTCCAACCGCCACCGATCCCTGCCGACGATGAATGCTTAGAAGTTCTCGAAGTCTGTGATCGTTCGAAGAAGCAGACCTACGAGATATTGTAGATCGCAGGTCTGGCGAGAAGAAATATCGGTCATTACCACCCTGGTACGCTTCATGAGAACGTAAACTGGGTGAGGGAAGCTCCCCTAAAAGCCTTCTAACGCTCTCAGATAAATAGGAATCCGGATTTAAGCGTCCATAAAATCTTCGCCAGGTGAGACGGGCGATTGAGAACGGTGAGCAGTGAGGGTGGGGCGATCTAAGCATTGTTTCTTAGCGGAGATGGACCAGACCCCGCAGAATTAGTCCTAGCCTTATCTGCCAAACGCCTGGCACAAGCACGCTTGTAAGATTTAAAAGCCTCATTAGACAGACCTGAACACTTAGGACAGCTGTGTGTCCCAGTCACAAACACCCACACAATCAACACACGATGTGTGAGGGTCCCATGCTGAAAATACTTTATTACAACGGGCTTAAAACTTCCGCTTACTGGCCTTAACAGGCTTAACCATTTTGAGCAATTCTCAGACGAAAAAATTTTCACGGCCACTCAGTGGAGCGATAAGAAAGAGAATGAGTATGTGAGGTGATCACGTGGGTGAGGAGCACTGCGATGCCTCGTGCTGTCATGGACTAGTGAGCACGACTGAGACAGGAAGGCATGCACAGCACGGGGAGAGGGGCAAGGTAGGTCTTGAGTAAAGTTTTAATTCGTTTCCACTCATGGTCGAATGAAGAGAGAGAGGTGCAAGTCGTGAGATAGGATAAGTTTAAAAATTAACATTTGTAGATTTACTTAACTATCAATACAAAATTCACAGGCCACCAGGACCACTGCAAATGTATCATTTAGTGGTCCTGATGATTTTTCACTAGCCAGGGACCACAGGACCAGCGTAAATTTCACACACTGATAAAGCAGATTGACTATTGGATAATTTTAAGGAAGTGACTCTTATTGGCACAGTCAGCCTGTAAATAATAGTCTGGATGAAACAAACCAGCTATTGACAACATCAATAACCATCAACAATGTCGAAACACAAAGGCGATGAGATGCTGTGGAACCATTCTGTGATGGTTTTCAACAATACTTCAACTAAGTTTACAGTGCAGGTAGACTACGGTGGTAGTGTAAATAAATACCTTGCAGCATCCAGAGTATTTGGGTTGTATCTTTCAGCTTATGGAAGAGGGGAACAATTGTTGTGAGATTCACTGAAACAGATGGAAAATAGTGTAGATTTTTGGTTGGTTGAGTTCTTGTTTAAAGCCGCACTCAGCAATAATCCAGCTATATGGCTGCAGTCTGTAAATAATCGAATCTGGACCAGACAACCCAGTGATCAAAGCAGCATGAGCACCAATCTATGAAACTGGGGTATGATGACATGTGTGAACCAAGTCAGTGGGCCTGACCACCAAATCCTGTTAGTCGCCTCTTGCGAGTATGAGCTACTGAAGACCAATTCTAACCCAGATGTTCACAGGTTGGTGGGTTAAACATACCTTGATAGTTGTTCAGAGCATTCTTGCTGCCATTGTTCAGTTTTATGCACCACTGAAAAAATACACAAAGCAAGAGAAGAAATTAGAAGATGTTACAATATAATACATTTTCAGTTGGCTCATAATTAAATTCCACCACACAATGATCTTGGTGGGAATTACAGATAATAGGTTTTAATAGTATTGTGTATTTATTGTTTTAACCAATAAACCTTGGTACCTTATTTCAACTTGCACTTGCAGGAACTCACCGTTGCACTGCCTGTTATGACCAGGTTTGGTCTGGCGCCGCCGGGCTCGCTGAGCAGGAAGTTCTTGTACATATAAAACATGGAGAGATTCACCATTGGCTGCCACAGGAAATCCTGAAATCATAGAGAGAATTAATGAGTCAAGGAAATGCAATTGTTTTAACCAGACAGATAATTTAGGTGTGTCTTTGTCAAATAAAGTGTGCCCAAATGTTCTGATGATTGCCCGATTAAGCTCTAAACATTACAACAATTACATTATTTCAAATTGTTGTTTAATAGCAGTAAATGAGGTTTTAACCTTTAAGATGTACAGTGTTTGAATCTATGGACCCCAAAATCTTTAGCAGCGGGCCAATTACAACAAGTTACTGACATTCAAGCAAGGACCTATCCTTACCTAGAACTCTCAAACAACCTACTCTCCCGAGGGCCACAAAGCACTACTCACGATTCTGGCACTGATCTTTTCATCCTGGAAATGGATGTCTGTATGAGCCTTCTGTTTCTCCACCTCCTTTGACCCGATAAGGTTGACAAACTCAAAGTACAGTTGCCGGATTCTCGAGTCGCCTACGAATGTGATGTGATTCCTGCCTCCCCAGTAGGACACATAGTGCATGCACATCCTGGCGTCACTGGAACAGACACAGAACTTGAGTGAGTGAGTGAGTTTAGTTTTATGCCGCTTTTAGCAATATTCCAGCAATATCATGGCGGGACACAAGAAATGGGCTTCACACATCGTATCCGTGTGGGGAATCGGACCTGAGTCTTTGGCGTGACTAGCAAACGCTTTAACCACTAGACTAACAATCTGCCCCACAGAACAATAGCATGCATAGGCAACAGGGACTGTGTTACTGCTGATCATGCTGTTAACAATGTCATGTAACACCAATAGCCTCAACATCCCTGTAAAACCATGCCCTCTAATGAAACAAGCAATGCTTAACATTGTTTTGAGTGAGTTGGGTTTTACATCGCTTCTAGCAATGTTCCAGCAATATCACTCTGTCTGTCTGTGTGTGTGTGTGTGTGTGTGTGTGTGTGTGTGTGTGTGTGTGTGTGTGTGTGTGTGAATTACATTGCAGTCAAGATTATTACACTTCCAGGAGCAATTGGGTACCCTAATCGTTAAAGCCGAAGACCCGTAGGTTATAGTGACATGTATACATGCTTGCGCATGTGTGAATGTCCTTTAAGTTTATGACCGCCTCCGTGGTATAGTGGTTAGAGCGGAAGGTCGCGGGTTCGATCCCCGACCTTGTCATACCAAAAGACGTTAACATATGGTACTTGTTGGTCCATGCCTGGCGTTCGGCATTAATGGGTACCTAAAGGACTGTGGCATGGTATCTCAGTGGGCTAGCACTGTAACTTAAGTCTGGACTAGTACAAGCAGCCGCACATACACATACGCATGCATGCACGTTGTCATATGAGCGAAATATTCTCAAGCACGACTTTAAACCCAATTTCACCTCACCTTTTAGTTTGAACTACTCTAGACTACTGAACACTGAAAATGATATATTGCTAGCCCACTGAAACATTCTATGCCATCCAGTTTAAACATATACAACTCAAACCCCAACGGATCCTGTTTTGTCCCCATAGTTCCATGCTCGAGACAGGGAAACAAAAAGTTTCATTTTAAAAATCCATTTTAACCTGTTTTCAAGAGGAACATAAACCTCACGAACTCATGAAGTTAACACATATGATGGTTATATAACCATGTTTGTCATCTCGGCATGACTGACTGTCCTAACCTCGAAAGTGAATGAGTGAATATGAGTGAGTGAGTTTGATTTAAAGCCACTTTTATTAATATTCCAGCAATATCACGAATATCAGGAACACCAGAAATTACGCTTTACATAATGTATCCATGTGAGGAATCAAACTATCAGTATTACCATGATTAAATACATAAAGCTTCAGTTAATCTATTTCTCACATGTTCACTGTGGATTCAACTCACAGCTAAACCTTGTCAGGTAGATTATTATCAGGGATTGAGTTTCCAGGCTGCACCAGTGCAGGTAACTTTCATTGTTTGGTGACAGCCAGTGCTGGCAACATTATCCATCGCACGTACATGGGAGCAGTGTGCAAAATAGTCACTAGCTCGCTAGCCCATGGCTAGTAGAAATCCCGTGAGGACAGTAAATCCCTGCAGTCGCTATCCTGACTGACTGGTGAATATTCACAGGGTAATTTTTTAAATGCATCACTCTCTCCAACTTGTTAAGTTCTAATGCACTTTTAAATCATGCAAGATAATGGCCTGATAGATGATGGTACTTTAACTTTTTGTAAATTTTTTTGCTTAGTTTCTACATTCAGACTTTGGGCCAGTGAATTATTTTGTGGGCTAGTAACTTTCAGACATAGCTATCCCGACTGGCAAGCAACATTTGGAAACTATTCCGCACACTGCATGGCAGCAGTCTTAACATGCTTAATGTTGTATATTTCCGGTATTAAATAGGTCTTCTCATATCGCGTGTACCAGGTGAATAAATTATCAGAACCGAAAATGTAAACAGTCTGTTTTCATGCTCATTAAATCAGTAAAGTAATAAAGATCACACACTGTACACAATCTTGTACACATCATATGTAATGGTGGACAAGCTGATTTGGTCCAGAGGAAAAGAAATTAAATTCATGAATGAAAATGTCAGTTAAAAAAGAAACAATGTATCCAAACATCCTTTCAGACACTGAGTAATGTGAGCTTTTCTGGAAATAGTGATGCTGGCCATGAATATCCCTCTCACTCTGCTAATAAAGACTCGTCACCTGTCACTGACAGTGATATGATTGTGTAGCCAATATTTTGTTGGTGCAACCTGATTAATTCACTCAGTTGCACCTGGTGCAGGAAGTGAAAAAAATAAAATTGTACTAATAAGACGGTGTCGGCCCGGGAAAGCGAAATTTCAATATTCCCCCACTCCTGGTAAAGCGAAAACCAAAGTTGTGCTAGAAGTGCAGCGAAACCGAAGTGCTAAGAAAACATCGGATTACCGTATTTCATATTAGCCGTGACCCCAATACTTCATCTGTTAGCCTCTAACTGACATGAAGTTTCAGTTGTTTCAAGTTTCAGCACTTGATCTATGACAAGTTTAAGCATCGGTGTAGGAAAACCCTCTGAGAAAAGAAGTATTGGAGCTGTGTAGTAAAATTTGTTTGTTGTTTGACTTATTTGACTATTTTATTTAATCCACCGTGCAAAGATGGTTGTTCGAGCAGATCTCACTAATAATAATTACATTGCGGTAACGAAAATAACGTCAATGAATGCTTAACGATGTAAGTTGTCTATGCACGATATTTTCAATTCCACCTCCACATGATCCATCCATGTGACCTATCAGTGAAAAGTCTGTGGCTCAAATATTTATTGTTACTTATATATATTAAATTTCTACCATGACTACGGTATCAGACGACAACTCACACTTCTTTGTTTTTCTTGTGTATTGAGAGTCTCGGGAACGCGAAATTCAGTGTTAACTGTAGCTTGACCGTTCCCGCGAAAGCGAAACCTAAACTGAGGAGGTTTAGTCCAGATTTCGCTTTCCCAGGCCATGCTTAGTCTCTGAATATATAGATATACATAGATCATAATTTAAAGAGGAGCCCCAGTGAGATGGCCTGAAGTTGAGGAAATCTAGACTTGCTTCATTTAGGGCTTTAGCATTACAGAAAGGGCTGGGCAGGAGGAAAATTATGCAGCTCATGGACTTTGAGACAGACTACCTGATCATATGTGGGTGTTCTGATTGAATACACAGAAAGACCTATGGTCCTTGACAATCTCCCCCTGTACAATGTCAACACACACAAACATACATGTCCTACATTGTAGTCACGATTAAGCCATCCAACAAATCATTCTCTACATGTCAAGCTACATGGGTAGTTATGTATGTCACATTCGATAGGTCAGGTGCTCGTTTCAAACAAAAAGTTTATGTGAACAAACTCGATCATGTAGATTTTGTCAAAACAAGCTGTTCCTCAATGTTTTAACCAGTCATGGACTATCGAGTCTATCAATGCACCATGCTCTCAGACTCACAAGGCAATGCCGTTAGCTAAAATGACTCCCAAATAATTGACCTTTGCAGGCAAGTAAGTATTTTAGCTCACATTTTGGATTTTTGTAGTTCTTGCAAATATATTCTTAACATCCTGTTATTGATCAGTGAAATAAACATCACTTCAATAAGTATATAATGGTGATAACATGTAACATAAACAAGGACATTTATTTACTCCAGTTCAGATTTTCAATGTCCATTGCTGCACACTTGGAGCGGAATACCAGCCCGTGAGTTGGTGCAGAAAAATCAACGATTGGTCCCTCAGTCCATGAGTGATGCAGCACTGCACATGATAATATACATACAGGTACCATGACAGCAAATATGGATTTTTACAACAGCTGGCCAGGTAATCCAGACATTGAAATAACATACATAATGGGACACCTATTCAGATGTTGAGGCAGACACATTATTCCAGTCACACATTACCATGGCAACCAATCAGGGCCAAGTTTCACTGAAACACTGGGATATATATATGAATGATTCTAAACAAGCTGCCTTTGGTAGACAAACTGCTATATTTTTTTTATTGTGTTCATATTTTAGCAAATGTTTAACAACATTGAGACTGCATTCAATGATATATCTGATTCAACATGATACTCAGCATTTATAGCATCTTAAGGCTATTAGTTGTCTGGCTTCCATTGTTGTGGAAGCCACGGTGGCTCAGCGGGTTAGGCGACTGACTTTGTCAGGGTTTTACATAGCTCTTCAAAACTGGGAGTCCTCGGGACTCAGAGCATATTTTTTTGAGAGTCCATTTCCAAAATTGGGGGTCCATCAATTTGCATTAAATCAATGATAATGAATGCTTCCCATTTGATAATGATTATGTTAAGATATGTGTTACTTTCAATGTCATTAGAATAATGATTGTAAATATATTTTAATATGGGATATCACTACAAACTCAGAAAGTTCTTTCCCAGAAAAAAATTATATGTTCACAAGGACGCACAGGATTTTAGTTTGGGGGTACTTCACCAAATTTCTGCGTCCAATACGCAGGAATCTTGCGTATTGTGCTTTGTGTGCTGGCGATTAGGTGCCTGACTCTGAGGGTGTGGGTTCGCATCCCGGATGGGATTCAACCCAACAAAAGTACTAGAATTTGTACTTTACTAAGAAAGTGTAATCCCAAATATAACATATGTTACATTTGATCACTTTCTAAATGGCATTGAGTATTCATAGCTTTCAGCCGTGGGAGCCGTGCCAATTTACACTTATCAGAGGGGTACACAAAGTCTGCAGTCTAGACTACAAGCTGTCCAACTTCCATATTTGTGGAGTGAGTGAGTTTAGTTTTACGCCGCTTTTAGCAATATTCCAGCAATATCGGCAGGGGACACCAGAAATAGACTTCACACATTGTACCCACGTGGGGAATCAAATCCGGGTCTTCACTGGACGAGCAAACGCATTAAGCACTAGGCTGCCCCACCGCCCCCATTTTTGTGGAAGCTGCGATGGCTGAGCGGGTTAAACGATTGACTTTGTATGCCGGCGATTAGGTGCCTGACTCTGAGGGTGTGGGTTTCGCATTCCGGATGGGACTCAACCCAACTGAAGTACTGAATTTACTTTGCTGAGAAAGTGTAATCCCAAATATAACATATGTCTCTCAAACAGTTTAATTAATGTATAAACTCCATGTACTGACTGCACATATAAAATTGCAAAGGTACAGTTAATGTAAGTTCACAGTGCCTGAACACGCTAAAGGGTAGTGTTGGGAATTGATCTCTAAAACCATCATCGATTATCGATGTCTTCTGTCGATCAATTATCGATAAATGATCGACTACAAGTATGGATTTATGAACACAAGAGCAGCTGGTTGAGACAACTGCTAAAAGATCGCTTGTAAGATCTGTCATATGACACAAGATCCCATTCTTCCTAGAAATGGAGTAAACATATTGACGAAAGGATATTGAAAATCTTGGGAGTATTTGACAACAAATATGAATTTAGATCATACTATTTACAGTTAAACGATACATATGTCAATTACTTGTGTGTGAAAATTGAGAAAGTTGAACTGAAGATTTACATGTAGACTTCGATGTAGAAATCAGAATAGAACGGCTATAGATCTAAGAGTAGATGTCACAAGTATCAATAAAGTTATCCATTTCCAACCTTGTTAGTGAATTTGACGAGAATTGAGCCTTTCGCAAATACAAAAACAATTCTCGAAGCGAACACATGTGCGGGAAAGCAGGTATTTTGTTGACAGTCTGCCCAGCCAATTAAACCGTTTGTTTCGATCATGTGACATATTTCTCAGGAGTATTTGTTGTTTTTAAAGCCACATTTTCATAACATACTACATTTACGAAACCTTCATCAATGCTTGCATATTCAAACATGTACTTATGGGTCCAAATAATATATGCATCCAAGCTAAAACTTTTATTACACTGCAAGCCTCTACCTGCACAAGAAGAAAATGACTGCTCCCCCGGCAAGCTATAAATAGACTTGACTCCCTGTATTACGGCTGCAATGGCGAGCCTACCAGGAGGTATTTACAAATCTTGCACGTACACACCAATCGTTTGTTATTCTTGAAGATAGTATACAGTGTTATCGATTGGATTTTTTTAAAATCAATAAACGAAATTTGATTGTCAAACGATCAACAAACCGATTATTTGATCGATCGGTGCACCACTACTAAAGGGTGCTGCATACAATTTACTTTCTTTCACAGCATCAAAGAACAGACTGGGGAATTCTTCTTAAAACTTTATTTATGATCTAGCCTTTCTCAAAAGGCATTCAGTTATTTCACAAATGGATCAAGATGCATTCTGCTCGACTGTGTGCACTCAACTGTGTTTATGATGTGCCAGAATAACTATATGAATACAAAAGAATTGAAAGTTTTAACTGACTGACTGACTGAGTTTGGTTTTACGCCGCTTTTAGCAATATTCCAGCAACATCACGGCGGGGGACACCAGAAATGGGCTTCACACATTGTACCCATGTGGGGATTCGAACCCGGGTCTTCGGCATGACGAGCCAACGCTTTAACCACTAGGCTACCCCACCGCCCCGAAAGTTTTAACTACAAATTGTATATATCTGTAAGACATGGTACATGATCAAACTGGGACAGTTTGCATGTTCTGCATGAGCTCCGAGAGATATCAGAGTAATACTGTCTTTTTCCATATTATGGATCCTGTTGCAATAAATGACCATAACCAACTTCTAGACTAATCTTTAAGTAAGGCCAAAAAATATATATGTCCGTTTCCCGTACCTCGACCGACCCTATACCCTATTGAATGAATAGAGCATGTTATGGGTATGCAAGACGGTTCTCTGCTACTTGTACAAGTGACTACCATGTAGAGAGGATAGAGGAGTCACTTACACATGTGACGGTCTGAAAAAGGGACGGGAAGTCTGAATCAGTGAATGTCACCAAAAACTTAACATTAGGGCTATGACAAGGAGACCTTGACTCATGCTAATTTTGAATACTAATAGTTCACAATGTTCATTTCTAACTACACCTACTAAATATGAAGCCACTGTACCTCTTTGAATACTTGTGCATCATGCATCCATATGGCTGCCAGGTGCTGTAGCCGGGGAACCTGCCATCGCTCAGGAGCCATGTGCACGAGTCATTACCTGTGAGGAGGAAACCATGGATGTCGTTGGGAAATCTTGCTGTCTGATTGACTGAACAACTTTGACACTGTCACATAAAACTATTTCACAAATAGGAGTGAGTGAGTTAGTGAGTTTAGTTTTACGCCGCTTTTAGCAATATTCCAGCAATATCATGGCGGGGGACACCAGAAATGGGCTTCACACATTGTACCCATGTGGGGAATCGAACCCGGGTCCTCGGCATGACGAACGAACGACTTAACCACTAGCTACCCCACTGCCCCTCACAAATAGGAGTGAGATGAATTCAAAGGTACTTTGCTTATCTTACCATGATTAGACTTACAGCCTGCCAATGAGTGTCTTTGTGTGCTGGTGATTAGGTACCTCACTCTGAGAGAATGTGTTTAAATCCCAGATGGGACAAGTACTACAGTAAGCCCTAAAAATGTTTTGTGGTTCCGATTACCCAACCGATCCTTGAATTCTGGTGCCGACCCTAGTTTTTTAGAGGTATGAATAAAATATGCATTCAGATATCATTGTTTTTCTTGTCACCAACGGACATTGGTCATTCTGATAAAGAAAGTCGACATGATGCCCGTAAGCTTAACTGAATAAACAATTACACATTGATGAATGTGTTCTACGTTCGTACTTTACTTCTAAAAAAAATGTATATAAAAAAAGGATCCCTACCTACCTACCCACCCTAAATTTTAGAGGTGTAATCGGAACCACAACATTTTTTTGGTTTGACCTAAGTGAGTGAGTTTAGTTTTATGCCTCACTCGTCAATATTCCAGCCATATGGGGGCAGTCAGGAAATAATCAAATCTGGACCAGACAATCCAGTGATCAAAAGCATGAGCATCGATCTACGCTACGATGACATGTGTCAACCAAGTCTGCAAGTCTGACCACCTGATCCCCATAGTCGCCTCTTACAACAAGTATGGGTTAGTGAAGATCAATTCTAACCTGGATCTTCACGGGTTACTACAATAAGCACTTTACGAAGAAAGTAATCCCAAATATAGCATAAGTTACAGATGGCCACTTTCAAAAGGCTATGTGTATTCATAGCTTAGGCATTGGGTCCCGCGGCAAGTTACACTTGTCAGAGGGGCACACAAAGCTTGCTGTCCAGTGTATGAGTTTTTGTGTGCTGGCTATTAGGTGCCAGACTCTCTGAAAGTGAGGATTCAAATCCTGGATGGGACTCGACCTACACAAAGTACAAGAAACTGTACTTGACTGAGAAAGTGTAGTACTTGATACCGTGGCAAATAGCAGTAATCTACTAACCACAACACAGAACTATGATCATGATGATCAACGGCAAGTTAATTTTCCACTACAAATTCAGGCCACATGACAACTCTGCTTGATACAATAAATCTTTGAAGATTCTGGAATATGAGTAGGTTTTTAACATTTTCTGCTGCCATTTTATTCCTCAAGATGCTTGTTTAAATATCCTCACCTGTCGTTTAATCTATATTTTCACTGTAATATCCTTTAACCATTAAGCATTAGACCATAAACCCATATTTTGCAATTACAGCTTGTTCAAAACGGACTAAAGATATATTTGATCAAATACTATTTACCATTTTTAGTTTCCATTGAATAAGAGTTACTGAAGATAAATGAACGTGCGTTACGTGCGGACACCATGAGTCACGAAAACATCTGACGATTTTGAAGCGACGTGATGAGACATGTGCCTTTGCGAAACATGCCAGTGTCAAGTGCAGAGAGCACTAACACCGGTTTCAACTTAACCTGAGATGTATAATTCATTATACAACACCCCGCCCTAAACGAAACTATAGGAATGATTGTAGTGTTGTTTTTGATAGCACGTTCGTCCATTGACGACGATGTGAAAAAACCAAACAAATGAGGTATTCAGATGAGGAACTGAGACAGTAATGAGAAATTGCATTAATAAAACCTTACCGAATTTGAGATGTAAAACCCCATGGTATAGGATAAATCCCGATACCATGAGAAATGCAGCAATTTTCGCATTTTCTACGTTCAGGTAATGTGTAATTTCGTGAGTCGATGTGCTTCTTTCCGCCATATTTCCCCCATGTCTCGTTGACTCTCGTCTTATGTACGAGACTTCAAGGGAGTTGACCGGTAGATCTATAAAGCGTGCGTAAAATATACAATTCTCCCGAGAAGCAAGATACATCTGTTTTCAGAAATAGAACATTCAGACTTCCAATCAATTTCATATTTTGAGAAAATCGAAACATTAAAATTAAGTAATACAAATATTTCGTAGAGATTGTCTAATTTGTATGTCGTTTATCATAGACTATCAGTTCTAAAGTTGAAATTTGGAGAGATCGTCTCAGCCCTTGAAATGCCAGGGCGTTCGTGAAATGGAGTTTAACTCCGGTTTTCATAGTGCTAGGCTAGTGGGATACAATATACATGCTGCAGTTTAACAATTTAATAACTCCGATCTAACCGATCTTTGTTTTATCCCCTTATGTCGAGTGTCAAGCAGAGAAACGGCAAAATTAAGCCATTTTAAAATTACTACATCCTTCAAAAATAAAGCGGTGAGTTAAGAGAACCACCGACCCAATATACGCTCGGGGCAGAGACGCTATCTACTACACAGCGGACGCAGTTCAGATTGGTGTTATTTGATACTGTCAGGTCTTCGGTTCAGATCTAGACTGTCAGCCCTAGTTTCCAGAGAAGTAGCACGGGAATTTTAATTAATATTTGGCAGATGATTAGAGATATACCGCCTCTCTATGGTATATACTATAAAACATTCTTTCATTTTTTTAAACCTATATCAGGACCACGACAACAGAACAAAGGTTCAAATGAAAACCAAAATGGATATTTTTTGGGAAAAATACAAAAATGGCGAACTGAACACAAGTATGTTTTGTAACGATCTCAAAGAATGATCCCAGTTGCAAAACGGGTGTAAATCTGATACCATTACTGTAAAAGGTAATACAAGTTTATTTTTTTTGTTCTTGTGCAAAATCGCCAAGAATTTGATCAAAGTCAATATCAGAATTTCTATGGATACGAAGAAGTACTCCTGCATTGAACTGCTCAGTTGATAGGTTTCATGGCACCGATCCCTTAAGGCGCGTTCCCACGTTGCAATTTGTTGTATAACATTTGTGGATTGCAACGAATTTCAAAATGTGAACTCCCGAGTTGGACAGATTTTTGTTGCATACAACTTGTGGGAAGCGAGTTGCAAGCAATAGAACTTGCTCTATTTTCATACGACAAATTGTATGGTTGTAGCCAATCCGAGCGCGTTTCGCAGTCAAGCGACGTTTCCCCGGCCTTTTGCGAAATTCGTAAACAATGGCAACGCAGTCACGTTTGAGTTTTACGCCGCTTTTAGCAATATTGCACGGCGGGGAAATTCATTGTAAACAAACCCGGGTCTGCGGCGTGAGCAACTTTCAGTAGCAGTGAGTAGCAGAGTGAGTAATGGCTTTACGACGCTTTTAGCAATATTCCAGCAATATCACGGCGGGGGACACCAGAAATGGGTTCACACATTGTGCCCATGTGGGGAATCGAACCCGGGTCTTCGGCGTGACAAGCGGACGCTTTAACCACTAGGCTACCCCACCGCCCCTTAGCAGTAGCAGAAGATACAAGCATTGTGACAAGTGTTCTGACTGTAACAGGTTATTTGGATAAAGATCTTATGCCGAGTCCAACGTTTCTAATAATCATAATGGCTTCTCACCTGCAGTGGACCCGTGAAGGTCCGGGTTAGACTTGATCTTCAGTAACCCATGCTTGTCGTAAGAGGCGACTAACGGGATCGGGTGGTCAGGCTCGCTGGCTTGGTTGACACATGTCATCGGTTCCCAATTGTGCAGATCGATGTTCATGCTGTTGATCACTGGATTGTCTGGTCCAGACTCGATTATTTACAGACCGCCGCCATATAGCTGGCATATTGCTGAGTGCGGCATAAAACTAAACTCACTCACTCACCTGCAGTGGCGTCTTGCCATCGTGATTTCCATCTTCTGATTTCAGGAATTTGTAGCTCAGGTGTATTTTGTTGCAGTTCCACAGATCAGTTGAAATACTCTCCTCCCGATTTCATCCTTAGGGTATGATCCCTATAGGCACTAACTACTGTGCTTTAGTGAGTGAGTGAGTTTAGATTTACGCCACACTCAGCAATATTCCAGCTATATGGTGGCGGTCTGTACATAATCGAGTCTGGACCAGACAACCCAGTTATCAACAGCATGAGCATCGATCTGCGCAATTGTACTGTTCTTTAAAACGACTACCGGGGCACACCAGTTTCTGGTCAAACTTTGCACGATAAGAGTGCTACACAATTGGTTTTCCCTCGACATGATCAGTAATTGCAATATTTTGCTTCCCACACAACATAAGTGTCCAGCTAATGTTTTGCGAACTGAACGATTGTTTTTTTCAGCAGTCCGTTTATGGACACAAGATAGCAGGTTAGATATAATTTGAGCAACAACCTTTCTATAATTGTGGGTCTTCACTGCACAAAAGTGATGTGATGCAAGCTGAACATGCCTCTTGATCAATGTTCCAGTATTGTATTTTGCCCAATCATGAATATAAAATGTTATAAATGACGGCACGTGGTAAGCAAAGGATTCTCATCCACGCTAGATGTCCCGCTGCTTCCTTTTAATGATACTGGTGGAGAGTCAGACTCCAACTCTTGCCAGTAATCTGAAAGGATCTTATTGAATTGAAAACATTCAGTTATGCTTGGACAGTTTTATGTCGGATTAGTGAGTGAGTGAGAGTTTAGTTTTACGCCGCTTTCAGCAACATTCCAGCAACATCACGGCGGGGGACACCAGAAATCCGCTTCACACATTGTAACCATGTGGGGAATCGAACCCGGATCAACAGCGTGGCGAGAGAACGCTTTAACCACCAGGCCACCCCGCCGCCCCTTAGGTCGGATTAAGTTTCACCTGCAGTATTTGCGACTGTGTTAACCATTCTGATTTGTAATCACTTCTATGAGGGGATGGGCGTAACTGTGCTTTTTCGGGTGTGTATATTACTGCCTAAATGATAGGGCTGGCTATCGAAATAGATCATAGAGATCGATAATCGTTCACTAGATATCTATCGATTATCGATAAATATCGGAGACTAACCAAGAAATACCAAAATTGTCCCAAAGAAATGTATATGTTTCACATCACTGGTGGGCGCTGACATGTTTTTGCATGAGTTATTAACAAATCAGCGCCCCGAACATAATCTAGAAGCACAAAATGAATAAAGTCCTAAAATTGCATATTGTCTAAGAAATTTTTTTCTATCACAAAAGTTAATGTATGATTATTGATAACACAATTTTCATATCATTCATGATTTTCCTATCGACGATATTCGATTATCGATAATTATAGCCAGCCCTAATTCCTAATCTCACTTTTTCAAATATACACCCACAGTCATTGTTACAGTAGCTGGTGACCGCCTCCTTGGTGTAGTGGTTAGAGCGTCCGCCCGGAGAACGGATGGTTGCGGGTTCGATCCCGACCGCGACATACCAAAACACGTTAAAATATGGTACTTGTTGGTCCCTGCCTGGCGCTCGACATTAATGGGTACAAGAAGGACTGGTCGGCTCGGAGTCAGTATAATGTGTCTGAGTGAGGTATTCATGCTTCACTGCGGCATGGTATCTCAGTGGGCTAGCACTATAAAACCAGTTTAAGTCTGGGCTAGTACAAGCAGCCGCACATACACATACACACGCATGCACGTCGTCATATGAGCAAAATATTCTCAAGCACGACTTAAAACCCAATTTCACCTCACCTCACCTTACAGTAGCTGGTTCATTTCGAAACCAACCTACTTTGTGTGTGATACTCACAGCACTGAACGTGATTTTACACGCGCTTCTAGTAATGTGGTGAGTACAAAAGTGTTGCAAGAAAAATGGCCGCCGCTCTAAGTAGAGGTTCTCACCTGAAATTTTCAAGCAATGAATACGACTTTAAGATAATGTTTTTCTTGTTTTTCTTACCTTGTTTTGACTAGTATTTGGTGATATAACCTCTCTGAATCCCTACACTCCTCAGTCTCCGTGGAATTGACTGGTATAAACTAGATATATACACTGGGGTCAGGCTTTGCCAGATCCTAGTTACACAGTCTATGAGGTCCTGGCGTGTTTGGAGGCTGGCGGTTTCTTCATTAAGTCTAAGTTTGACACATTTCCACACATTTTCTATAATGTTGAGGTCTAGAGATTGTGCAGGCCAGACAAAATTAGGGAGGTTGTTTGCTGTTTTCCACTCTGTGGTCAGTCTTGATCTATGGGGTGTAGCATTGTCATCTTGGAAAATAAATTCAATATTTCCAAACACTTTGGTCACAACAGGCCATAAATGTTCATTAATAGGTTCAATATACTTCTGTGAGTTCAGAGCACCCTCAGCTGGCACAAGTGTTCCAATGCCATCCTTCGTTATGCACCCCCAATACATACAGCTAATCAGAGCCGGTACCTTCAGTGCGTTCAGACACTCGGGTCTCCACTTCTCATCAGATTTTCTCCAAACATAAACAGACTTGTTCTTTCCAATCGCTACCTGAGTTTCATCAGAGAAAATAATATTCTTCCAATAGTCAAGTGGTAATTATTAAATGTCTCTTATTCCTACACCAAGCAATCCTCTTTCTTCTCTTCACCTTAGAAATTGTGATAGTTTTCCGAATAGCACATTTTCGAAAACCATAGAAATGGAGTCTTCTTTGAACTGTTCTTTTAGATAATACTTGGCTGTGTACCTTATTAAATTCATGAGTCAAATCTGTCAAAGACTGCCTACGATTACCTTGCACAATACGACAAAGTCGGCGATCACTTCTCTGGTCAGACAATTTGAGCCTCCCACTTCTAGCCTTGTTTTCTACTGAACCGCAGGCAGAACATTTCTTCCAGACTCTAGAGACAGTAAATTCGTATCCCCAAAGTCTTAGCAATGTTGCAATTTTTTCTCCACTCTGTTTCAAACATATTAACCTTTCTTTCAACCTGGGAGTCAATTCTATTCTGACAG